AAGCTACATTGTAGCCACAGCCACCCTGGGGCGCACTGACAGAGGCGAGGCTGCCGGACACTGGCGCCACCAGGCCCTCTGACCACCATCAGTAGGCAACGGGTGAAGTGTCTTGCCCAAGGACACAATGACCGAGACTGTCTCAAGCCGGGGCTCGAACCGGCAACCTTCCGATTACAAGGCGAACGCCCAACTCTTGAGCCACGATCGCCCATAACTGCTGTAGGTCATATAATATCCTTTAGTCTAGATTGTGTGCTGTGTATGTAGCTTAGTTTCCATTATATTTTTGGGTTAAAAGAATGTGACCATTTTTGGATTTGTTAGACAGGCGTGCATTACCCTGTACCCTTGATCTGCTGTGAATGTGTTACACTGTTTCTTGACATTTCAGACTGCTAAGCAGAAAGACAGGGAGCCGAGGTCATAACTTAGGCGCCGTAACAGAGAAAGAATGTGAATGTTTAGGCTTTTACGACTAGGTGGGGGCCACTAGAGGTTATAAGAAGCTGAGTAACCCGTCACCATTTTGAGACTTGCTGTGACCCTCTTCATGCATGTCTCCCCATCATGATGGCTTGTGCTCATAAGTGTTGAATTGTATGGAAATAAATGATTGGTGATTGAGCATTTACACACCGAGTATTGTCCTTCCTTCAGCCCAAAGATTAAAAGAATTGGGAGATTTTAACACCTCAAACAGGGCAGCTGTTACACAAGGATTTTTAGGTTTTCACAGTGGAGCAGTTTGTACATTCAGCTTCTTCACCTCTTTTCAGCAGAAAGTTCTACTTCAGCTTTTTTCAGCAGAAGGTTAAACTTTTTCACCTCTCTTCAGTACAAATTTCAGCTTCTTTACCCCTTTTCAGCAGAATTGTCAGTTTTTCACTTGTTGACAGCAAAAATTTCTGCTTCTTCACCTGTTTTTGACAGAATTTTTACTTTCTTCACCTCCTTTCAGCACATAGTTTTACTTCCACTACAAGGAATTCACACTGCATTTTCACAGGAAATGCAACTTTTTCTAGTTTGTGACCCAAAGACCCAAAGAAGATTAGAAGATTGTGATCTTGAAATATAAAAATAAAGTTATATTTTTTTATTATTTTTCATCGCTCAAAATAACAGTCACACTCGTGGAAGCTGGTATATCCGGCAAAACATCGTGCATTTATTTACCCAGCGTTTTGTGTTTATTTTTATTATTATTATTCTGTTATTGTCATTATGATCCTTTGTTGTTGTTTATGCTGATTGTGTGCTTGGGGTTTACACCTTTTTGTTCTTAGAGGTTTGGTGTTGCACTCCCTCTGTTTTGTGTCTGCCCATGTGAGTCCAGTCTGTGCATTTCCTGTTTTATTTTGATCTGCGTCTTTTGTCAGTGTGTTGCGTTTGTGCTCTCCCTGTCTCGTCAGTGTAATCAGCACCAGCTGTGTCTCCCAGCTGTTTCCTCTTAGTCCTGTTCACCTCTTGTATTTAGTGTGAGCGTCTTCCCCTGCTCGTTGTCGCGTCGTACCATCGAACTTTGCTGTGTGTTCCGTTAACCTGTTTGCCTGTCCGTTAGTTTATGTTTTTCCCAGTTTAGTTAGTGTCCTGTACAATCTGACAAAAAACTGTCAATAAAGCTGTTTATTTTGAGTTCACCCTCGCCTCCGTGGGTCCTGCATTTTGGGTCCATTTCCCTGCCTGCCTGCACACAGTCATGACACTGAAGACAGTACAACATTTAATGATGCCTAGGCAGATTTACTTCTGACGAGAGTGGCCTACCAGCATGCCTAATTCCGTCGATCTTCGGATCCACATATGTGAGCATTTCTTCTCCATCATGAACTATGTTACAAACAAACACTGCTTACGCCTCACAGACGACAACTTACAGTTCTGCGTAAAGATGAAAGTGACTTCGTACAGATGCTGTGTGCAGAGGTTCAGGAGCAGAAGTCCCATTGTAAACATATCACGGCAGACCCGACGATGTTTACATGAACATGCTCTTCAGCATGTCTTTATTGACCACTTTTCACACCCACAGGCAGCGGTAGCTTTCCAGCTCACAGCCCGATGTGGTGCAATCTGTTTGAGTATAACCTGTTTTATTGTGAAAGGGGGTTCTGCGACAGGAAGTAAATAATAAAGTTTGAGTTTGAGTGGCTCTACAAGGTGTTGCTTGAATGCTTGCCTAAGAAACATGACGACACATACAAACAACAGCAGAGAGAGCTGTCTTTATCTTTTATTATTTTTTAAGAATTGAAAATGTATTCATTACACAAAGCACTTCATAGATTTCATAAGCAACACGCTATAGTTGTTTATAAAACAAAAACAAAACAATATACACGGTGTTATCTTCATTTTAGATGTCAAAAAGTATTTTTGTGGCTCCAAGTGTTTTCTTTTTTGTAGAAACTGGGTCCAAATGGCTCTTTGGGTGTTAAAGGTTGCTGACCCCTGCTCTAGCCACTAATTTGCTCTTGGTTATTACTGAAGTGAACTTTATAAATCATAGCGCAGTGTTAGCAGATATTCCAGTAGATACAGTATAACTCATTTCCTCCTCCTTGTTTAGGATCTGTGCTGTATGACTGAGTCGGTTAGATTAGAGTTTTTTTGTGGCCTGACAACCTGAGGGCACATTTTGTCTATTGCTTTATTTTGTCCATGTTTTTTTTTAATTTATTGAAACTGTATTTATGTAATTTGAGGCTGGCAATTTGTGAATTTTTGACATTAGTAGCAACAATTTGAAAATCCATCTTCGAGTGTAAATTCGGTCTTCGGCACCAGAACCACTGAACCACCTTTCCTTTGTTTTTGTTGGGGTTTTTTTTGTTTGTTTTTTTTAATCACAGTGTATCAGATCAGTTTTGATAACTTTATGCTATTAAGGTGATGCATTGAGGTTTATATATGTTCAGCTATATAAGCAACACATGTCAAAGTGTCCAAGCAGAAAATATGCAGAAATCCTACAGTTCAACGCTCTGCAAACAGCAGGCTGGTGGTGCATTACTCGGTGTCTAAGGACAGAATAACATATGATGGCCTGAACGGATTTGTTTTCCTCTGAAATGCTGTTTCTGTATCAAACTCTTGGGTCAGAGAGCATGGCTCAGTTGCTCTTATTATGTTTTTTGCAGCACCTTTCATTCTGCATTTATTTCAAGTTCAGTTAAACTGAATGCTCTTTCGTCTCACCTGTTAGTTCCAGGACCTGCACAAGTGCTAGTTTTGGTGATGCAAAACACTCTGAAGGCGCGCCTTGGTTTGAATCTAGGAGTTAAAAAGGGCTTTAAGGTGAACCAGTGTCACAGTTTTACAGATGTTCTCAAATGATTGCTTTATGTTTCTTACTTATGCTTTTATCTTAATGTTTAATGTCAAGTTTAAATGTTTCCCTTGGGCGAGAACTGGAAGCAATTTATCAGGTTGTTATACAACAGGTGCCTGAATCGCTCTGCCCTACCTCTCCAAGTGTAGCTGGGTCAGACTCCACTGCTAAACAGCCCTTAATGGTTTTTGTACTATGTGGGGGGGAAAAAATCACAAAAATTGGTAAAATATGATGTGTGACAATAATCAGTGTCTTAGAAACACTAGCGTCACAGGAAAAGCTTTTAATGATGAGTTATGTCTAAAACCTACCTGTTAGGTCTCTTGATTTATACCGCACAAGTGTACGCCCATGCCAATGTCCTACTTTAATAACCCCATATAAAGGTCATCTTAGTGGGTTGTTAGGCCATAATGTATATGTATCATTATATATGGATACTTTGTGAATATAAATTAAATGTTAATGTCCCAAAATTAAAATTTGATGCTTGTATAAGATTGCACAAGTGCATAATTGCTAAAAATGGGTCATTTTAGTTCATTTGGTAGTTGATTACTTGGCAATGTGATGATAAGACTCTTCAAGGGCCTAAGATGTACCTGTGCACCACATTTGGTTGCTAAGTTCCAGATCATGTAGGATGAGTTTGCAGACAAACAGATTTTGTTTTGTAACGAGATACTTGCACCTGCATTTCAGAGTTTTAAACATGCAAATGTATCTAACCTTGCAGTCCTGGCCAAGACCTAGACTCTCTCACTTTCAGGAGCGGATGCACAGAGCACTAAGCAGTTATCCGGCATATCGTTGTGTAATACCGAAGATTTTCACAGAGTTTATCGACTAGAAGGTTGTGTGTTTTCCTAATTTCCCATAACATAAAGTAGGCTGCCTGTCCTGATTACAGTCTGAACAACCTTTATGTCAATGGCAGTAAAGTTAACTTCTTAAAAAGAAAAAAGCTGACAGGGTTGAACGGTGCAGTGATTTCTTAAATCAGCCTAGATGCATTTCCCCTGCATCTGCAGAGGAAATGAAAGTGCTACTCAGGCTGCTCACAGCAGTTTAAATGGTTCAGGGTTTTTTCACCTATGGGGGTGATATTTGTTTTTCCACTGTGACTAAGATATCTCGAGTCTGTTTGGACTATGTTTGCCGTATAGATCTTTAATCTCACTCTTGCGGTGTCCTCTCACTTGGTAAGAGAATTGTCCTAACACTTAATCTCTGCAAACCCCTGACAACAAGTGCTAATCAACCTTTCCTCTATAATCATGTTTAATGATTAGTATGGCATTAGACCACCTAATCTTCTTCTGACTATAATAAAAAGCTTTCCCTTCACATATACTGGGTAAAAGGTACATTTAGAGCAGTGCATGTCCTGACAGATCCAGCCAAAAGGTGATGTTGTGGAAAAATTTTTTTCTGAGATTTGCCAAGGGCTTGTGGATAACAAATAGGGCTTGCAGGATAAAAAAAAAGAGGCCTCTGTTTGCAGAAATGCAGCAGAAAAAGAGCAGGGGGAAATTCATGTGAAACTATGCATCATGTGAAACTGTGGGGTAGATAAAGTAGTGAAAGGAGACACCAGGTATGAGTCCACTATAGGGTGACTGCTCTCTGCCCTGACCTTAAGAAACAAGGAGGAGGAAAGAAAAGGGGCAAACACATTTTTCATTTCTGAGAATAGCAGGAGGAATGTGGAGGCAAGATACAGGAGACAAGACAACTGCATATATCAATGGCAATGGGATAGTGTGTATGCATTCAATGATCAGGGTTAGGTCAAAGGTGTCCTAAATGCATTGTGTGACTTAGAGTAAAAATGTAACAGGTTGAAGGAGCGCCCCTCAGATCTGCAGGATGCTTTGCACTGTGCACAACTCCCCATGCGCATGGGTAAATAAAGATATTTGTTTATATTTGTTAAAGCTGTAGGGAGCTCAGTTCTCACACTCATGTAGGCATCAACCTGATAATGAAGACACAATGCGAGCATTATATTTAGGCCAGGTCATTTAATTGAATGGAATCTTCAGCTGATACAGGCGACATCAAGCCTTAGTGTTCTCCTGAATGTAAAAGTAATAGAAAAAAAACCTCTATTTGCATAGCTCTGTCTCACTCTTGCACACACATGCACACACTTGCACACGAATTCCTAAACCGCGCCAGACATCCAGAGAAGACCGAAACAAGCGAAGGAACAAACAGTAGACCAAAAACGAGTGAAGGAATGGAGGTTTCAGACCTGACAGCTGGAGGGTGACTGAATGATTTTAACGGCTGAAAACACAGAAGGTGGGCTGACATTTAAAAGTGAAACAGTGGGAGGTGTTGAATGTAAATAAAGGAAATAAAACCCTATTATTTTTCACTTTTAAAAACAGCGGCAGCTCTGAGTAAGAACCTTTCTTCCATCACAGTGTATCACAGTTAATTACGAATAACTCGGTGCTCCTGTCAAGACAGTTTGGACAAACTGAGTAGAAAATAAGAAAATAAAAGTCTGTAAAGTCATAAGAGTTTTTAATCTAGATGAAGTGGAACTAGGCACTTGTTTGTTCTCTCACACAGGAGTGCTTTTATACCCTTTGATGAGAAAGGAGGTTAAAAATTCATTCATTTCCATCGTAGTCCTCAAATTACATGATTTTTTTCTAAATCCTACATACTCGTTATTTCTTCTCAGACTCAATTGGCACTTCATGGACGAGACATCCTTTAACTCTATCATCTAAGTCCACAAAATCTCTGTCAGCCCATTTCCCCCTCCACACTTTAAACATACAAACCCATCTGCAGCTACTCTACCACCCACAAATTTACTATCAGTCCCCATTTCCCCAACTATCTGACCCTTTGCCTTATACCCTCGCGCTATAAAGCACGTCATAGCTCGTCGTGGGCAGCAGCCTCATCGGCTTTAAGTTTGAACTCTGCCTCTGTGATCTTTCCGTCACCGTTGCGGTCCTGGTTGGAGAACATGTTGTCAATGATGCGGTAAGGATCAAAGCCAGGAGCCAGGCGACCTTTACCCTCGGTCACCTGCCGCATGATGTAGTCAGTGAACTGTGCAAACAAAAAGGGGATGGTAAATTAATGGTGATGGTTAAGAGAAAATCTTGATAAGAGCAACTTGACATACCTCAGAGGGGTCCACCTCTTTGTCGGTGTTTTTGTCCATCTCAGAGAAGAGGTCTGGAGACACCTCGTCGTTCCAGATGAACATGTAGCCTTCGGGAAGTCCTTCCTCCATGTCAACCAGCTCGATGTCAAACACCAGCACGGCACTGCCTGGAACCTCACCAGCTGGACGCACAAATAAAAGCTCAATAAATCACTGTGACTCGTTCCAGACATCCGCTGAAAAGAGAGAACTATCTCTACTGCTCACTGGGTGCTTTAACCTCAAGTTATAAAATTATAAAATGGAGTTTACAGTCATTGTGTGCTCAATGAACTATTTGACAAATGTGGAAATATGGTTATCCTTTTAGTTAAATGAGGAGAACTGATGCTACTCTCATGTTAAATCCATCCATCCTCCCTCCTACTCTCCTCCTGCTTATCTGGGCAGGCCCGGCAGTACCAGAAAGACCCTCGTGTGTCGCCCACCACCCACAGGAGGAGCTATAGGGGTTCAGTGCATTTCCCAAATCTGCTGATAAGTGGATTTTCATCCCTGACCAGGCTAGACAGCAAAACTAAGTAAATACTTACAATAATTTTATTTTATGACTGGAAACTGAAAGAAGCCTTTCATGTGTTGCACCACTAGAAAGGTGCACGCAGTAAAAATGTGTGTTTCATTTTAAATGAAATGAAACACACATTTAGTTTAAAATGAAACACACACATTCTGAGTGTGAGTGTGCGGGCGTGTGTGCGTGACTCACTGACTCCCCTCTCCCCATAGCCCAGATGAGGAGGAATAACAAGGTGTCTTCTCTCTCCCACACACATGTCCATGAGTCCATCCTCCATCCCCGGGACCACCTGGTTTGCTCCCAGGACTATGTTGTATGTCTTCCCATAATTATACCTGAAACAGATGAACATATAAAACAGCTGCATATTAGTCGCCGTGCTAAAGGAAGCATGTCCATCATTTCTGTGTACACACATGAGATCTGTTTTTCTTATTTATTCTTGTTTAAGAATAAGTAAAAGTTTCAACTTGTAAACATAATGTGTATTTCCTTAATTTCAGCAGGCCAGAGGATCACGGTGTGGGTTTGAATCCACAGCATTAAGAAGACTTTTGCAAATTATAACCTGCTGCTAGGATGACTCACAATTGTGGATTCAAACAACCATTAAACAGTGAGGAGACATGACCCTGCAGACCTCATTGCTGGGGATCGTTACTATATAAAGAGCTCACAGCTCAGACAAAGAGCTCACCATTCAAGAGATCCTACTTATGTTATCTCTGTGATAGCTGGACACTAAACCAGGAGTTTAAAGTGGCTGTGAGGAATAAAAAGGGGAAAAAAAGGAAATTCACATGTAGAGCGACAGTTTTCTTTTTCAAATGCATAACGTGAACAAAGTGGCGCTTTCACCACCACCTATGCGCACTTGAATGCACATCTGTAAGAGGAAACTTGCTAAAAGGTCTGTTTGAAGGCTGAAATCCGACACACCCCCTCTTCAGTCTGCCTGAAGCTGTTTCTATGCAAAAAAGCACAAATCATCACACATCTCTGCTTTGGTTTCATCTGTCCAAACAAAATTTTCTCCTGAAGTCTTGTCGCTTGCTCTGATGCAACTTTGCGAACCTCTTTAGAAAGAAGAGGCTTTCTCCTGACAGCTAACTGTACTCTTATTTACCATGCTAACTGAGTCTGAGATGTAGCTCTTGAGCTTTACATGGTCTGATCTTGCTGTGGCTTTGTGGCTTTGCTCCAGACCAGCAAGCTGGACATTGGGGAACCTGTTACAGAGTCATGTTTACCATGAATAATCTTGTAGGCTACATATTATAGCTACATTATGAAGCTTTTGTGCATATAACACATGTTTTTGGTCAGGATGGTGACGAAAAAATCAGAGAATGACTCGTCTCTGTGTTTAAGTGAGGACTCAGGGAAGCTTGGTTCTGTTGTGGTGGATCTAAACGCATGGCAACGGACAGTTAACTCATAACAACGCGTGTAAACGCATGGCAACGGACAGTTAACTCATAACAACGCGTGTAAACGCATGGCAACGGACAGTTAACCCATAACAACGCGTGTAAACGCATGGCAACGGACAGTTAAC